GTCACGACGAGGCGTTCCCCATAGCGACCCCTAGAGGACGCAGTTCGAAGTTCCCATGAAAGGGAACTAGAAAGTGGCTGCAAATTACAACCAGGCAGAAATCACTTATCCAACTTGGACTGCTCTTCCTGCTGGTCAGTATTTAGCCAGTTCAGCTCTAGCCAGTTCAAAGCACATGAAACCACCTCAGTAAGCTCTTTAAAGGCAAAAGAAGTCAACCTCAGAAACAAAAGAAAGTAAAGCCGAGAGCGAAGCACTTTAACTCGAAAGTTGTCACAGTGCACAAATTCAGAATTGCCATTTGAGTGAACCTATGAAAGGGAGCTGCAGGAACCTCTTTTTGAAAAATTCTGCATGAATAACTGAATAAATCATTGCAACTTTATAATGTACAGTGTATATATATATATATATATATATATATATATATACATATACTCAAGTGAGACGAAATACCTCCGTGCTGCTCTTATGGGAGTGTAAGTCTCTGTGCTCATACCTCAGTGATAGCTTGAATGAATGCTCCATATTTGATCAAGAGCTCCATCACTTTGACTCTGTTTTTCTTACAGGCAATGTGTAGAGGAGTGAAACCATTCTAAAAAGAAACAACCAGCAAGAAGAAGGTGTAAGATTATAAAAAAAACTTTATAGCGGAAACAAGACTCACAATAAGAAGAATGCATGTACCAATGCTCGAGCATTCGGGTTGGCTCTCATGTCTAGTAGAAGTTTGGTAACTCTGTAGTGACCACAGTGAGCAGCAACATGGAGGGCTGTCAAGTAGTCCAGTGTGACATCATCAACAGGTGCCTTGTGCTGCAGCAGGTGTTTGACACACTCCACATGGTCACCCTGCGCTGCCATGTGGAGTGGAGATAAACCGTTCTAGACACAACAAGGGTAAATTAAAAAAGAAAGAAAGGGAAAAAAAACATTGATTCATCACATATTAGTTTGTATGTGTAATATTTCTGAATGTTTTGATAACGTAAATAAAGCATTTTTAAACTTTGAAACTTCAGGAGAGATAAAAGAAAACTGTTTTTGGTAGGTGATGGGTTGAGTTACAATGTAAAATAATGCATTACATTATTGAATTACTCTTATTCAAAGTAACTAACAAGATTTTGCAGCATTCAGAATTGAATTGACAATTCCTGAAATGAATAAAAACTAAACAAATTTGGTATGCCTATTGAAATTAGCATTTATTTATTTTATGTTACTGTGTTGAATTTTTTCGAAACTGCTGTTTCTCTGAATTTCCCTTTGTGTTAATTATTGTGTTAATCATTTTAAGTAAGTTATCATGCTACTGTTCACTTTTACTAATAACTTTTTCTTATGTCACCTGGTTGAGGCAATTTCTCCTCCAAAACAATAGTACAATACCTGCTTCCTAAATACAAAGTGGTATTTTTTGCTGTGGACAAGTGATTGCCCACCATCATACTTGCATGCAGTGTCTATACACCATTAGATGTTGCACTGCTTACAGTGTTGACAGCTTTGGTGATTATAATAGTAGTTTTATTACATGTCTTTGTATATGTTGCACTGTAGGGAAGGGAGAGATTTTCAAAGCTATAACAGACATTACTTAGTAATTCAGGTATTAGGGTGTAATTTCAAACAGTAAATAAAACTTTACCCTTTACCTCCAACAACACATTACAGTTAATTTGCAGAATTTATATTTATTATTATACAAAAACAAAAGCATGTTATATTATAAAAGTCCTCATTTCGATAGCTACCTTGGTTCTGGCCAGCATAGGGGCTCCTCTCTCCAATAAGAGCTCCACTGCTGTGTCATGCCCACTTCTTGCTGCACAGTGTAAAGGCGTGAGGCCATCCTGCAACACAGACACTCTCACCTTAAGGTCTCATCAGTAATTTCATAACAAAGCACTTTGGAACTTGAAACACCTCACAAATGTGATCCTGGACCACAAAACCAGTCTTAAGTCGCTGGGGTAAATTTGTAGCAATAGCCAAAAATACATTGTATGGGTCAACATTATCGATTTTTCTTTTACGCCAAAAATCATTAGGATATTAAGTAAAGATGATGTTCCATGGAGATATTTTGTAAATTTCCTACCGTAAATATATAAAAAATGTATTATCATTAGTAATATGCATTGCTAAGGACTTAATTTGGACAACATTAAAGGCGATTTTCTCAATATTTTGATTTTTTGCACCCTCAGATTCCAGATTTTCAAATAATTGTATCTCGGCCAAATATTGTCCTATCCTAATAAACCATACATCAATGAAAAGCGTATTTATTCAGCTTGTATAAATGTATAATTCTCAGTTTCCAAAAATCGACCCTTATGACTGGTTTTGTGGTCCAATGTCACAAATGTGACATGTTATATACATTCTCCTCAACCCCTACACACTTAACTATAGTTTCTCTCATGTGTCTTTTATACTCAGTGTTTTCATCATTGCTTATAGCACATAAAAAGCACTGCTGAAGTCAGTAACAACAGAGTGTGAACGATTATAACGATTCATGTAACACAGGCTTAGAAGACTTCTGACTGCTTATTGGATCATCTGTCTGCTTATTGGATTGAGACTTTCAGTTAAAAAAGGTTCCCAGTTCAAGTCCAGGCTGAGCCAGCAGGCCTTTCTGTGTTGATTTTGCATGTTTTCCCTGTGTTGGCATGGGTTTCCTTCAGGTGCTCTGGTTTTCTGTACAATCCAAAGACATGTAGGTCAGGGAACTGATGACACAAATTTGCCTATAGATTGGCAGTGTGAATGTGTGTTTGTCTGTGTTAGCCCTGTTATGAACTGGTCATCCGTTCCCTGCCTTCGACCCGAGATAGTTAGCAGGTATTAGGGGTGGAGGAAAAAATCGATACAGCATAGTATCGCGATATTTTCCGCGGCAATACTGTATTGATACACGGACGCCAAGTATCGATCTTTTATTATACTATTTGGTAGAATAATAAAATAAATTTCTTTACAAACCACTAGATGATGGTGTTGATTTTTTTTCTGGTGAGGTCAGCTGGGTCACCTTCAGCATGCAGTAGGCCTAAGTTAGTAAAATGAAGAGGGCGGCATCGCGGAAAGTTATCAGGAAAGCCCCGTTTAAATCGGATGTATGGACTTACTTCAGATTTGTAAACAAGGAAGGGGTGTAAGTAGGGATGCACCGAAAATATAGGCTACATATAATAATAATAATAATAATATATATGTCGCACCCCGCCCGGCAGTGTTCAGCGCTCATGTTTCACTCTCCTTGTCACTGCGCGGTTTGACGCTCTGCTCAATATTCCGATCTATGAATGTGCGGTCCGCTCGTGTACCGCTCATGCTCACCGGAAAAGCAATGTCCGCTCAAATAACGCTCTGACAGGAAATTTCTATGCAGTATAGGCCTACTTGTTCTGGTTTGCAGTAGCGCTACTGTGATGTAATGGTGTAGGCTAGTTCAGCTGTACTGGGCAACGCTGCTATTGTCCTATCCTAATAAACCATACATCAATGAAAAGCGTATTTATTCAGCTTGTATAAATGTATAATTCTCAGTTTCCAAAAATCGACCCTTATGACTGGTTTTGTGGTCCAATGTCACAAATGTGACATGTTATATACATTCTCCTCAACCCCTACACACTTAACTATAGTTTCTCTCATGTGTCTTTTATACTCAGTGTTTTCATCATTGCTTATAGCACATAAAAAGCACTGCTGAAGTCAGTAACAACAGAGTGTGAACGATTATAACGATTCATGTAACACAGGCTTAGAAGACTTCTGACTGCTTATTGGATCATCTGTCTGCTTATTGGATTGAGACTTTCAGTTAAAAAAGGTTCCCAGTTCAAGTCCAGGCTGAGCCAGCAGGCCTTTCTGTGTTGATTTTGCATGTTTTCCCTGTGTTGGCATGGGTTTCCTTCAGGTGCTCTGGTTTTCTGTACAATCCAAAGACATGTAGGTCAGGGAACTGATGACACAAATTTGCCTATAGATTGGCAGTGTGAATGTGTGTTTGTCTGTGTTAGCCCTGTTATGAACTGGTCATCCGTTCCCTGCCTTCGACCCGAGATAGTTAGCAGGTATTAGGGGTGGAGGAAAAAATCGATACAGCATAGTATCGCGATATTTTCCGCGGCAATACTGTATTGATACACGGACGCCAAGTATCGATCTTTTATTATACTATTTGGTAGAATAATAAAATAAATTTCTTTACAAACCACTAGATGATGGTGTTGATTTTTTTTCTGGTGAGGTCAGCTGGGTCACCTTCAGCATGCAGTAGGCCTAAGTTAGTAAAATGAAGAGGGCGGCATCGCGGAAAGTTATCAGGAAAGCCCCGTTTAAATCGGATGTATGGACTTACTTCAGATTTGTAAACAAGGAAGGGGTGTAAGTAGGGATGCACCGAAAATATAGGCTACATATAATAATAATAATAATAATATATATGTCGCACCCCGCCCGGCAGTGTTCAGCGCTCATGTTTCACTCTCCTTGTCACTGCGCGGTTTGACGCTCTGCTCAATATTCCGATCTATGAATGTGCGGTCCGCTCGTGTACCGCTCATGCTCACCGGAAAAGCAATGTCCGCTCAAATAACGCTCTGACAGGAAATTTCTATGCAGTATAGGCCTACTTGTTCTGGTTTGCAGTAGCGCTACTGTGATGTAATGGTGTAGGCTAGTTCAGCTGTACTGGGCAACGCTGCTAAAATAATGCTACCTTCAGTGACGCTATGCTCTGCTCATATGCTCTGATAATAATAGCTTTGTAGGACTATACATTATTTGGATAATTAGTAAAAAAAACAACAACAACAACTTATATCTGATTCTGTTACATAGTTAATAAAAATAATATATTTGTAACCAAAGAAAAGGGGCGGGTCCCAACATTTTAGGTGTGTGCAGAGGAAAAAAGGTCAGAAGAAGCGATTACGGATGTAAGTTGTGCATGACCGAACAGCTGTTAACTGTAACAATTATACTAACGAGCAACTGAATGTTGCTGTTGAGCACAAGGGCGTTGCCGAACTCCAGTTAAAAGCCAATGTGAAGTCTTAGTGGAGGCTACAACAGGAGTAAGTCTGCCAAGTGGAGTTCTTGTTGCTAATATCTTGACCCAGGCAAAAGAAGGAAAGGTGTCAGTTCGGATATTAAATGCCACTAGTAAGCTAGTGAGGCTGCCACCTAGAGCTAGGCTTGCTGAGGTTCATAAACCGGCCGAGATCTACCTGAAAGACCCGATAATTTTTGAGGAGCAACAAGATGCGCTCTGTGTACGGGTTAAAAGTGAGGAGGTCAGTTGTCATGGTGGATTATCTGACCCATTGCCAATCTCAGTAGAGGTTAATATGGAACTTTTGCAGGCTGATCATACGTTGAAGTTGAGGGCACTTCTAGAGAAACACATAGATGTGTTCTCTAAGTCCGAGAGTGACTATGGTCACACCACTGCAGTTTCACACTGCATCCCTACAGGGGATGCTCAGCCCATCAAACAACATCACAGACGCATCCCACCACAAGTCTTTCAAGAGGTCAAGCGAAATGTACAGGACCTTGTGTCTCAGGGCATCCTTAAGGAAAGTTGCAGTCCATGGGCTTCCCCCGCAGTGATTGTTGTTAAGAAGGACGGGGGAATTCGGTTTTGCTGTGATTACAGGAGACTGAATCAAATAACCTGTAAAGATGCGTACCCTCTACCTCGAGTGGAGGAGTCAATTGATGCCTTAGGAAATGCCCGTATTTTTTCAACGCTTGATCTGACATCTGGCTACTTCCAGGTTGCCATGGATAGTCAAGATCAAATAAAGACAGCGGTGACTACACCTTTCGGGTTGTTCGAGTGGACCCGCATGCCCTTTGGGTTATGCAACGCCCCGGCAACGTTTCAACGCCTAATGGGGGTGGTCCTTGGAGATTTGACACTCTTTTAGTATATTTGGATGACATTATAGTCTTCTCCAAAGACTTTGATGAGCACTGCGAGAAACTAGATCTAGTCTTCACTCGTTTGAGGGAAAACAATTTGAAATTGAAGCCCAGTAAATGCTTCCTTTTCAAGGAAAGAGTCAAGTTCTTGGGTCATGTTATATCTAAGGAAGGCATTCAGGTAGACCAGGAAAAAGTGCCGGTGTTGGAGACATGGCCGGTCCCAAAGTGTCCTAGAGATGTACGGCAGGTATTTGCCCATCCAGAGCCACAGGATATTTAACCCCTATCAAGACGGGCTTAAGTACCCGTTACATATTGATATTTAATATTAAGGTAACACTGTTCAATAAGGTTCCATTAGTTAATGTTAATTAATGTATTAACTATCATGAATGAACAATGAACAATACATTTATTACAGTATTTATTAATATTTCTTAATGTTAGTTAATGAGAATACAGTTATTAACTGTTAGTTCGTGTTAATTCAGAGTGCATTAACTGTTAACAAGCACAAATGTTGATTTTAATAATGTATTAGTAAATATTGAAATTAACATTTACTAAGATTAGTAAATGCTGAAGAACTATTGTTCATTCTTAGTTCATTAACTAGAGTAGTTAACTAATGTTAACTAATGAACCTTATTGTAAAGTCTTACCAATATTAATATAAATTCTGTCCAGTTTTATTGTTACTTTCAGTAAAAGTGTGGTTATTTTATTGGCTTGTGTTTTTTTTTAATTCAGTATAATTAAAATTGAGTTACATTTAAAAAGTCTTAGAAAGTGCATCCAGAATTTTCGGTTTCCGTTTCGGCCCAGAATTTTCATTTCGGTGTATCCCTAGATGTAAGACTACATGTTTTATTTAATTTAATTAAATTTAACAGTAATTTACTTTCAAATGCCCCAATTGCTGAAGGGTTTGCACAGCTTTTTAGTACAATTTCAAGTTGCACTGTTCAAAATACCTGTAGTAGCACAGCAGTGCATACCTGTTTACATTTAATTAAGGTGGACTAGATTAGACCGTAATACAAATAGCCAGGTGCATACAACATTTATGACAGGGTTTCATGAAAGTGTTGGTCAGTTTGTCTGCTTGACAATCCCATTTTGCACTGCAACAATAAAACTGAAGTAGATAAACAAACTGAGAAATGTTTCTTTTTAGTTAAAACAGATGTCAAAGTTTTCCTTTGGGGACATAATTTGAAGTTGGAAAAAGGTAATAAATTGCAATATATCGCAGAATATCGCAATATATTTAAAATCGCAATAATATTGTACCGTGACACAAGTATCGTGATAATATCGTATCGTGAGGCCTCTGGTGATTCCCACCCCTAGCAGGTATAAGGTTTATTTTAATCATTTATTTTATATTAGTTATTTATTTTCAATAAGGTAGGTCATCCAGTGTAAAACATGCCAAAACAATGTGCTGATAATTCTGCTGTGGTGCAGACAGGAGCAGCCAAAGTAGAGAGAGAGTTACTTATTTTCAATAGGTAATTTTTACTGTTTATTAAGTAGTCTGATATGAAGTAGATTATGCTTTTAAGAGCAACTTTTACAAAACATAAATTAATAAATTAGATCTAAGCATAGCATACTTTTTTTCTATTGCTAACTGACATCTGGCTCATATCAGACTCATAAAAATGCTAGTCATCTCAGCTATGTGTATACATTATGTACAAAAATAAAGTGATAACTAATTGTTACTAACCCGTGTTTTGGCATCAATCTGAGCCCCTCTGTCCAACAGCAGATGAACCATATTAGTGTTTCCCCTCTTAGACGCAACATGTAGTGGCGTGATCCCATTCTGTACAGACAAAAGAAACAAATTTATATAAAAAAGCAGTGTGCTGTCTTTAGAAATTACTTGAGTTGAGAATCATCTTTATAATTTATGGATTTCTTTTAATCTAATGTAGAATCGTGAGCTTTGTCTAAAATGTTTACAACTTGGATTGCACATCATTTCCAATAAAAAAGGTTTTAAATCTGTAATAATTTCCATAACTATATAATTTTAGATAGTTGATAACTTTGGTCTCAACTCTCATCAGATTCATAAATGCAAAAATAATTTTCAATGACCATTTTAAGTTTTAAATTCTTAGTTTGTGTATTGTATCTTATTGTGGTATTATGAAGTAGTTTTAATATTAAATGTACAAATGCTTAAGGAAGTCAAGCTCATATACATGCATGTAAAAGCTGTAAACACTCACCCTTGCAGTGAAGTCCACAGCAGCCCCTCGATTGAGGAGCAGTGTTGCGACATTTCCATTTCCATAATGAGCAGCGATATGCAGGGGTGTGAATCCACTCTACAAAAATAATTAAAAAAGGGGACGGGACACAAGAAAAATAAATAAATGAAAACATAAGATATCAGCCAACATTCCTACCATGCTTTAAAGCCAAGCTGTCAATAAATACAGATCTGAAAAAAGCTAACCTTGCCTATACAACCATGTCAACTTACAATTAAAAAGTGGTTTCAGATCTGCAATTAGTGGCATCTTCAACTCCAGCCAGAAACTGCAACCCTGACTTTATCTTGTTCTAATAGACTACATTAGCATGCAGCAGTCACATGTAGTATCACATACAAGTATAAAATGGACAATTATGGAAACGGATTGAGCTCATTGTTGCCTCAAAGGCAGCTTGGGTCCCATGTGAAGAAGTCTGAAAAGAAACCTTAAACTTGAAGTTTGACAACTAATACATACATAAACATACACAAATAAACTTCAGGAGAGGTCAAACTCTAGACACAGGCATGCAAGCAAACAAACAAACAACAACAACAAAAAACGAAAATTTATAAATAAATAAGATTAAAATAACAAGCAGTTGTTAACAGAACATGACAAAAGACACAACATTTCAGATGACATACAGTTTTCGTATAACAGAAACAAGGGGAACATAATCAAAGAATAACACCAAAGAAAACATAAAGGTATCAAAAAACAAAAATGCAGTATGCAGATAATATCAGTAATAAAATCATGTCTGGACTATAAGAAGGTAAAGATTGTAGAGGAGTTTGAATATGTGAAATTCTTGCCTTACCTTCCCATTCTGAAAGTCACGGTCCGATTTAATGTGAAAACATCATTTACAAAAGTGTGAAGAATATATTGACTGTGTGAAACACGTTCAAAGCTGGTGCAAAATCAAATATGCGATGCAGCATGCTGTGCAGTGGATAATTAAAACCTAATAAAAACTTTGCAAATGGCAAATCGCCTGCGAAGGTTAAAGAAATCTGAAAGCGCATTATTTCAAAGTTCATAATTATACAGACCACTAACTACAAAACCTTGATTTTAAACATACGTTTAAAATATTTAACATGTATAATATTGCATTGAACATGCAATATCATATCAAAACATCATAACTGATAACGCTAAAACAACAACAGTTTAAGAATTTATTTGCCACCTGCAAACATTCAAACATTATTTCTGTTGGATGTATGGATGTTGAAAAAGAATGATTAATCCCTCTTAGCAAAGGCTATATTATATTATTAAAGAGCTTAATGCAATCAAACTAATGCGTGCTGGGAGTCAAGCAACTTTTGTTGAAAGGCAAATTCATGCCACTGGGGTCTATTTGACCTTTAGGTAAGAGTAATGAAATAAATGGTCATTTCAATAAAGCCATGTGACTGGCTTCCCTATTGGCTTGTATATATTTCAGTAAAGGCAGCAAGCAAAGCCAATATAGGACAGTGTTGTGCACTTTTCTGAATATTTGTATTAATTCTATTAAAAACTAATGAATTTAAAAAGACTGATAATTCTTTTTTTTTTTACATAACTTTAAGACAATTGATATGAATAATATATACAGTGGGTACGGAAAGTATTCAGACCCCCTTCAATTTTTCACTCTTTGTTATATTGCAGCCATTTGCTAAAATCATTTAAGTTAATTTTTTTTCCTCATTAATGTACACACAGAACCCCATATTGACAGAAAAACACAGAATTGTTGACATTTTTGCAGATTTATTAAAAAAGAAAAACTGAAATATCACATGGTCCTAAGTATTCAGACCCTTTGCTGTGACACTCATATATTTAACTCAGGTGCTGTCCATTTCTTCTGATCAGCCTTGAGATGGTTCTACACCTTCATTTGAGTCCAGCTGTGTTTGATTATACTGATTGGACTTGATTAGGAAAGCCACACACCTGTCTATATAAGACCTTACAGCTCACAGTGCATGTCAGAGCAAATGAGAATCATGAGGTCAAAGGAACTGCCTGAAGAGCTCAGTTAGGAGCAGGGGGATAAAAACAGCATCTTTTCCTTTCTTCACCTGTCAATAAAAAAAGCTATTCTGGCGTCCGGACAGCAATCTCATATTATTGCCATTTCTGTTGGCTTTATTTTAAACTACTTATTGAACATTGGCTTTTTATTTTATTGAACATTATTTACTCAAAACCAATGTTCAATAAAAATATATTTTTTAATTTTTTCAAATAAAAATATTAATTGACAAATCCTTTTTAATATGTTTGACAAAATAAATAAATAAATAAACAAGACATCTCCAGTCATCTTTTGTTGGACACACACAAAAAAAGTGGAATTTTGAAGAACATCCTGGTGGTTGTTTTTTCTCTCTCCATATATATATATATATATATATACAGTACTTTTGCATTAACAGCTGTTATGTCAGTGCCCTTGCAGCTTAAAACTGACTGTAGGTAAAGGCTGAAATATTAATTCCTGATGAGGAGGATTATAGATGTTAGGAGGATAGACACTGTCTGGATTATTGACTTTCAGCCTGTCTCAAATTAAATGACAGCAGCATTCACGGCACCGGATATAACTTAAAAACATTATCATTCAATACATTTTATAAATAAAACTGCAATTTCTGACGTGACATATGCAAAGGGTGGATGATGCTGTGAATGAGACTAACCAGACATGCAAGCTTCAAAAGAACTAAAAATGCTGAGTTAACAAACAGAAAAGATCAATTCTGCATGCCAAAAAGAGGATCAGAAATGGACGCAATAAATCAATAGTTTTTTATTTGCCAAAAAAAAAAAAAGAGGAACTATATAAATATCTCTACCTCAGTTGTCCTATTGACCATCATCTGTTGCAGCAAAACAGGGAAGGAAATAGGCTTGTTATATTTCAATCAAACACATTTGGGGTTGATAGCGGCTGCATGCAAATTTTGTCAGAGAAGCAGGAGGTCTTCTGAGGGACCATATCAATTATCCAGTCTGCCACTAAAAACCCATTCTTAAAGGTATACTAACTCACAGGAGATGACAAACGGTATTAGGTTACTTGACCACTCAAATCATATTATTTCCATAAAACATCCTATAACCACTTTCAGTTGCAAAATAAATTAACCTTTGTAATACATACTCTTGTGAATACAATAGTTTTATGGTGGTCTTGGCTCAGGAACCAACTTTTGTGTGATGCTGCATCTATGTTAATAGCTGTCAAAAGACAGGACTACTAGAAAATCATAAACAAAATCACACATTTAACTACCTTATGATTAAATAGTAAATACTTTGATGTTCTATATTTACAGCAATCTATAATGAATTGTAAATTAGACTAGACTAAAACTAGCTCAAAACTGTGCCTCAAAAGTTGACAACAGTAATACATAAATATTAACATTTCATCTGGCATTTAAGCCAACAAATGTCTAAAATTCTTTTTACATGAATCACTTAACAACTATTTTGTTTCAAAACTGAAACTAAAATTAAACTAGAACATTTTTCATCATCAAAAACATTCTGAATGCTGCATGTTTTTCTTTGAACTAAAATTAAAACACCACTTATAGTACAAATCATTGGCCATTTTTAAAGAAAAATAAATACCTCTATTAGCACCCCCCCTCCCCCCAAAAAAGAAAACATTCAGTCTCAAACACAAACACACCGCACACAACAGACATGCATGCACACTTTCACACAAATGTAGTGAAAAGATGTACATCTGTGCACATTCATTTTGCAAGTGCATGCTGTTTCTGCATATTTACAGTCAGTTATGGTATACACTAAGAAGTTAGGTTAGGTTAGGTTAGGTACACTTTGTGAATGTTCTGTTTTTACAACTGATAAAATAGAGTAATGGGTAAGTAGATAAAACAGTGAAACCCGGAGAGTGTCGGGATGGAAACACATGATGCAGGCACATTTATAATGTAGAGAGAAACAGAGAAATGCAGAGAGACAAACACAGACAAAAGATTTCATCTGGCACAATAATGGAAGACACTAAAAACATCCTGAAACTAAATAAACAGATTTACAAGAACAGTGTGACAAGATGCTGAATCTTTAACGGTCTGTTAGTAGCTACATGCAGAGTAGGGGTGGGAATCATAATGTGCGAAATGAATTTGATGATTTGTTTCAATTGATGCTAACAATGTACTTAAAAATTACTACTTTTCAACATTTTTTTGCAGAGTTTAATTAAAATACCAGTTATTATGACAAAACTGTTCTGAATGTGTAACTACCAACTCAATCAACGAGTAAGTCATTAGTCTGATTCAGACTGCAACTGTAGTCACATGCAAAGCATGCAAAATTACAGACCCCACAACCCCCACCCAATCACGCAGCTTTTAAGTTTGTGTATTTATTTAATTATTTAATTATTATATCAATTCAGCTGAGAAATTGATCAAATTGCACAGGTCAGAGATCACAAAAAAAAAATGATTTTTTGCTAAAGAAAAATGCATATTTTGCAAAAAAATGTGCAGCAGAATCCTGACAGTTCTGTTCAAAAGGAAGTCAAGGGAGGAAATACCTTTAATCAGTTAAACTTTTAAAGTTTAGAAGATTATTATTATTTTTTTTTTTAACAGTGCTATAGCATGCACGCAGTGAGAACAATGATAGATGTGTTGATACATGTAGGCTAGTTGTCTTTGTATTATTTGAGAGTACCCAGTCTATATCTAAAATAATATTCAATTTAGACCGCAAGCACACGTCTGCTAAAATGTGAAGAAGTATGAAGACGTATAAGAACCATTACCAGAACCAATCTTGGGTCTCAACCCAAATGCAGAGATTGGTAAATCCCATCAAGGCCACACATACTGTTATACATTATTCATCATTCAAATAAACCTTTTTTTTAATTCTGAAGCCAAATTTCAGTTTAGATTTCAATATATATTTCCTCCTTCCATCCTTGACCATACTACCCTCAGCTCTATGTTCCGCCCATATTTACCTTAGACTGAACATCGGCATTGTGGTCATTTTGGAGCAGCAGGGCAGCAGATTTGGTGTCATCCTTGCGGGCTGCAATGTGCAAGGCAGGCAGACGTACTTTGCCCTTTGTGTCGTTCTCTAGAAGGATGGACACCACCTGATTATGGCCTTGTTGCAGTGCAATAGCTAGAGGTGTGAAGCCATCCTGCAAAAAGAAAAAAGAAAATATATATTTAAAATAATGCATTTAACCTTACATTATGCCAATAATCCTGACACCACAGTATTTGGATGCTACCTTGGTATACTTTAAGGTTAATGTTAGGGTGTAGTTTGGGGTTAGTATTTCAGTATTAGGGTATAGACATCAGCAAAGTAATCTTTAGGATCAGCTGCGGGGCTTTTTATCAGTTAAAATGATTTTTTATTTTATTTTTTATTGAGCAGCAAATTGACATATTAAAATGATTTCTGGAGAATCATATGGCACTGAAGACTGTGGAAATTCTGCTAATGGCTGCTGAAAATTCAATATTGCCATCACAGGAAAACATGACATTTTAAAATATATTCAAATAGAAAAGTGCATTCAAATAGAACACATTTTACATCAGAAAAAAAAAAAATCACAATAATACTGTTTTAATGTATTTTTAATCAAATAAATTTAGCCTTTGTGAAAACATAAAAAATCTTCCAAAATTTTGACAGCCGGTGTAAGTGAATGCAAATGGTTTTAGCTAATTAGAATGAACATCTGGTTGCAATTGTAGTAACAATCACATTAAGCTAAAGTTTGTCATTCTATACAGTTTTAGAAGCACTTGAACTTTTTACCTCTGTTGCGGTGCTCTGGTTTCCACCATTCTCCAAAAGATATCGCACTACATCTAAATGGTTTTCTTGAGAAGCCATGTACAGAGGAGTGAATCCATTCTACAAGAGCACAGATTTTAAGGGTTTTTATTTTAATTAATTAATTTATTTATTCCCCCCCCCCTTTTACTTGGAAAACTTTTGCAGGCATAAATGTCAAACTTGTTCCTACCAGAGATTGGGCATTAATGTCTGCTCCCCTCTTTACCAGGATCTTTACAGCCTCTCCTTGTCCTGCTAGTGAAGCGATGTGGAGAGCTGTATTTCCTTTCTGTGAGCCAAACAAACACATTCATCATTTATTCAGTTTCTCTTAAAATCGCTTGGCACAAATGATATCAGGGATTTGCCCAAAGCCAAATATCTTATTCAGAAAGGCATGGATAATGAATTCAAAAAATAAAATAAAATAAATAAATGAATAAATAAATTACTTCGTGACAAATTCTAATAAATAACTGAACAAAAATGTTTTTTTAAATACAGTCACTCCTTGTTCTTGCTGGACAACAAATATGATATTTTAGATAAGCTTCTGAATTTGCATGAAATATTGAGTGTGCAAAGTTATTAGCACAAAATTAGTGCAACCCAATCAGCCATGTTGCCATTTCTGTATGTGTGCTTCTATCAGAAATCAAGTGTAACGTCAACTAAAATACTGTACAATACAAATTTTTCCTATTATTTGATTTGTCTTTTAAAATATTTATTATTATTTATATTATTTAAATATTTAAAACCTTCCAAGAGAGACATATGATACAATGCTTCTCTGTCCATTTAATTAGCACTGGTGCAGTGTGGCGCTTGTCTGGTGTGTCCGGCTTAACAAAGTGCAGTAAACTCTCTCAGTTACAAAGTAGTATGCTTATGATTACAATAATAAATGAAAATAATATGATAATAACAAATACCAATTTGCAACATTAAGCAGCATAATGAACTTTTTTTGCACAGCTAAAATAACTGCAAGCGGCTGACAGCCGTTGTTTTGCACATTCATGTTTAAAATGGCTGTGTCCACTCTTACATGCTGTAAATATATTAAAAATTAAGAACTGAATAATTTCTACGGGTTTAGTCTTTGCATCTCTTTGTTTCAGGTTTGAATCAGGTCTCCTCTGATGGAGTAGAATTGGCCAGGTGGTGGTGTCACAAAAAATAAGGGTCCTAGAAATGCATTCTAGGGTCTTGAATTATAGGATCACTGCGGTCTTGAAACTGCAGCCTTTAGTATTGCAAGACCTTATTATTTAACGCTGGGTGTGCCGTAACAGCTTGAGGCTCTATCCTGGATCTGTCAAATCCAGTGTTCCACATCCATTTGTTCTTCGTGTCAGAGGTAGCGTGAGCATGTGAGGTATGTCAGCAATAGAATGGGCCATTCAGTGTAGACAGTATCACTGATTATAAGGGGTTCTATTGGTTTTTGCAGTTTTTGACCAATAGGTGTGAAATCATTTTAATTAGCACAGTTCCTTTGGAAAATAGACAAACAGACTGTACTAAAGAACTAACCCTGTATTTAGTGTCCAATTCATCCCCTGTATCTTCTGTTAACTACCCATACATATTTGGAATCAAAGGAAAATGCTTTAGAAACAAACATACATACATACATGCATACATAAACACATACATACATAAATAGATGAATGCTCCTTTGACCATTGATTAACCGTTCAAAATAGTGATGAAAATGACTTGAGGTCAAAATGATCTGTCCATTTTTGTCCTCAATTCTTATGAGGTCAAAAAATCTGTCCACCATTCATTTAACACTTTAAAGTAGTCCTACCTTTTTTTTTTTCTTTTTTTTTTTTTTTTACAAATATGCAGCAACATGTATTTAAAAGAAAACACAAAAAGCAATTAAACTTTGAAGATATTGAAGCACACTTTAGGAGTGTGGAAGCTTCTATACAAAATTCCATAAATGATGTATTCCAAAACAGTTCACAAGGCATTTCATGTGCACACGTGTAGTAGCCTGGAGAAGCCTTAGTGGTCCTGCCTTTCAGCTCTTGTCATATTGACTGAAGGACTATTGCAGTCTGTCAGAGTAGGATAGCACCACCTCAAAATGACTATAATACAATGACAAAGTTGTTGTTTTAATACATCTGTACATACTTGTTGTGTATAAACATGAATTTAAGCAGTAGCATAGCCTGAAATCACAGCATGCATGTCAAGGGGACCTGACAGCCTGAAATAAGAACTGACATTCAAATGTTATTGTTGATATAGCATGATTCCCCCCATTCATTTTGTGTGTTTACAAGTGTTGGGTTGGTGATTAAAAGGTTGGGAAGTGTTGTTAATTATCAAGACTATTTTAAGATGTCAGGAAAAAGATCAACTGTGCATGGGAGCAGGTTTAATCAGCAAATACACAAAGCCATTCCTAAAAATTTCCCTCACAGACCGCCAGTGCTGCAGAGCTAGAAATCATTCATATTTCAAGCAGCTTCACATGCTTAACAGAAAAGTGATCTACAGAGTTGCTAACATACTTTTCAAAGCACAGCATAAAGTTACACCATTATTTATTTGTAAACTTGAGTTGTAGCTTCCAGCCAGTCTCTGTAAACCTTAACACAAGTACCATTCATATTTTTCTTGAGAAACTCTACCTTGGTTGCAGAATCAACTGAAGACCCTCTGTCCAGCAGCTCCTGGACCAGCTCTATGTGTCCTTCCTTTGCTGCCAAGTGCAAAGCATTGAGGCCATTCTGTGGAGGTCATAGACAGAAATTAGTACTTCATTCTCAACCAAAAGCAAACATAAAAGGGAAGCATCATAAAAAAGATGTACAGGGGAAAGAATACTTAAGTACCTCCTCATCCATTCCTAAGGTATGTTTTCTGTCTTTAAGAATACAAACTCAATATATGCACATATTAAAGCAAGTTAAATGTGGCAAGACTTGTTGAATGTCAGGTTTATCCTATTAAATGCAATGTGCAGCAATTGCAGTCTCAAAAAAGCAATGTGCAGTCTAAAAAAAGTGTTTTATAAAGAGGTATTAATAAAATAAGGAGTGTCACAAGCTAGCAGACGACTACTGCAGGCTACCTTAAAAGAAAATCTTAAAATTACACTGACATGTGGGATCTCTTTGGCAGCCAATCACTGACACAACCTTTGATAATGCAGTGAAGTAACTAGAAATCTAACTGTCTACACCTCGCTTTCCACAACCTGATTTGGAAAGCACAGTATGCTTTTGTTATGTCATTATTTATAGAAACACTACCTGTCAAAAGTGTGGACATGTCTTGTTCTTTTTTTATTATCATTTTCCATATTTTATATTAATAGAAAAGCAATCAAAGCAAGAAAATAACAAAGTATTGGAATTATGTGATGCATATCTAGTAATATAACGTGCATAACAGTTATAATAGTTTATAGAATAAAAAAAAAATACATTCAACATATGCTCCTCTCAATCATACATCAAGCCATAATGAGTACTTCTTGAATATACTAGAAGACTGTCTTATCCAGTATAATTTACTGAACGTGTCTACGTAAGTAATAAATATAAATGTAAAATTATTGCTTGTCAAAAGCCCAAGTTTGGGCTGTTATTGTACATTTTGATGGGAACATGCTAGATTAAACAGACCTCTCTGATTTCATTTTATTTAAAGGGACTTTATGTTGAATTCAAAACCCCTTGTTATTAGCGACACTGGTGGCCGTTGAGTGAGTTGCAGCCAGCAAATTATTTGCTCATGCTCAATATTACCTTGACAACACTGCCTGTGCATGCAGCATTCAGCACTCCATCAGTTGTTGCAAATAAATATTTATTATTATTATTATTATTATTTTCTTTAAATGCTGTCTAAATGTGTATTACTTACTATTCAAATTTTTCAAACTGAACTTGCTCACATTACTGCTTAACTAATATTTCTATCGCTGACGAAAAATATCCTTCATGTCAAATTCTTTAGATTTTATTTATTTATTTATTTATTTTTTTTATTATTTTTTTTTTTACATGGTTTATAGCTCGTTCAAGCAGTTTAACTACTTTGGTGGGGTCAAGGTCAATCTGACAGACCCTTCTGTAGACAATCTCAGATCAGCAACAACACCATGCACATCTACTATGCTACACCAAATAAACAGCATGCTAGGCAAAGGAGAAAAAAGCCAAACTGCATTCAGTACTGCAGACTGAATGGTCATGTGCCTGCTGTTACCCTCATGGCAAAAAGTTATCAAAGGAATTTGGATTCATCAAATGGTTTAATAAGTGCATGGAGCAATGGTTACTAAATATATTGGCGTATATAATCTATTTTGACTTATTTGACTAATTAAAATTCTTTTGATAACTTTTTGTCATCAGTGTCTATAGATGCTACATGCAAAATTTCTTATGAATCAGTCAAGTGGTTTAAGAGGAGATCGAAAAATATTTTTTTGCCAACTCAAAATGGCCGACGGATTACAATGTGTTGTACTAATGTTGTCCACTAGAGGGAACCACAGGATAAGAAATCTACTGAGATTTATATTGAGAGATGAAGGATGTAATACTAATGTTGTCCAAAAGAAGGAGGCACAAGACAAATTATTTTAGTAGTTTAAAATCTGTCTAAATGGTTGAACTAGACTAACTTTGCATAACATGCATTATAGTTTCATAGTTAATGTGCCTGCTTACCACACTAGGCACACACTGTTGCCATAGCAGAGCTGTTAACAAGCTAACATGCTTTGCATGAGGTACAGTAGGCACTTGATAATAGAGCTCCTAAAATAGCAACAAACTCTCTGGGTGCATGATGAAGCACCAAGAAATCAATGGCAATCAGTGGCATGAAATAGTCAAAATTTGGTCTTTCAAAATACTAAACTCAGCAAAAACTAAACAAACAAAACAAAAAAAAAACTGGGTGCTGTAGCTAATTTTGTAAAATCCAATTAAGCTTTACAGATCTTTATTGTAAAGAGTTTAAACATTGTTTGTCATGCTTGTTCAATTAACCATAAACAAGTAGGCTATTGCACATGCACATGTGGAACAGTCTAGTTTACAGGAAGCAGGCAATAAAGGTCAAAGTTATAATAAGTTAGGACATTAAATAGACCTTTCTACTGACTGAAAAACGCCAGAAGAAAGATGCCCAGAGTCCCTGATCACCTGCGTGAACATTCCATAGTCCTGCTGCAGGCAGGTTTAAGGACTGCAGATGTGGCCACTGGCCAGAGCAATAAACTGCAATGTCTGTAATGTAAGACAGTAAGACGCCTAAGACAGTGCTAGGGAGACAGGAAGTCAGGTGATCATCCTGCAGTGCCAAACCACATGTAACCATATGTCTCCCCCAGACATGTTCAAAACATGCCTAGAAAAGAATGAACATTTATTTATTTTTAAATAAAATGTTTACTTATTTTTACTTATTTTTATTGAATATTGGAGTGTTTATTTATAAATTATTTATCTGTGCACCAGGACATTTTCGTGGGCAGGTGCTCAAGTGAAAAATGACACCCATTTCATAATTATTTATAATAAATAAAGTTACATACTGTTGAACAACCTTAAATTAACACCATATACTATACTACTGTTGCCAATCAAATGAAATCAGTATAAAAAAAAACCTATCTTACCATTTATCAAAATCCATTTACACTGCAATTACAATTGCATACATAATGTTATTATATTAATGTTTTAAAATTATAGAATATATAAATATGAAATGTTGTGTACAAAAATGAAATTATTCTATTATATATGAAACTAAACCCGCCAGTAGGTGGCGACATGTATTAATAAGTGAATTCCCTTTCCCTTTCAGATGCAACATTTATAGGAGGAGAGTATTTAAAGGAGTCATATGACATTGATAAAAATAACATTATTTTGTATATTTGGTGTAATGCAATGTGTTTACGCGGTTTAAGGTTCAAAAAACACATTATTTTCCACATAATGTACATTATTGTTGCTCCTCTATGCCCCGCCTTTCTGAAACACATTGATTTTTACAAAGCTCATCGTTCTGAAAAGAGCGGTGTGCTCTGATTGGCCAGCTATCTAGTGCGTTGTGATTGGCCGAATACCTCAAGAGTGTGACTGAAATGTTATGGCCCTTACCAGGCTCAGGAAACTTTCCTCCGTAAAATGCGCTGCACACACTCGAATATTTGGGTTGTACTGTTCTGGAACAGTGTTGTAAATAAAACTTAACCACTAATTTCTAGTTGTGTCCTCTTTCGGAAGGCCAAACAAAGTAGTTTGTGTTGTAAATACAACTTAACCACTAATTTCTAGTTGTGTCCTCTTTCGGAAGGCCAAACAAAGTAGTTTGTCTTTCGCAACGAAACACAGCGTCTCCACGACATGGTGGTGGCAGCAACAATACTACAGCGAGAATAAAAGTTACACCTTTTTTCTTTGCGTATACATTTGGGCGGTGTTATGCAAATCTTCCCACAAAGTGACGTAGATATATGTGGGGGCGTGTTTGAACAAAGCCTTTTAAGAAGGCGTGGCTGAACATTCACTTTTAAAAAGAATATCTCTTTGGGTTTGAGACTTCAATCTTTGCGACTTTACGAATCTTCTGTATGCACGAACAGCTTTTAACACTCCAAAGACAAAGGAAAACATGAAATCGCATCATATGACCCCTTTAACGGCACAATATGTAAGATTTCTTTATTAAAATATCCAAAAATCACTAGAACAGTATTATATATTTTGCTGACTTGTGTACTTACATTATCCCAAATGTTTCGAAGAATGTTTAAATCCAGAGAAATAAGCAATTTTAACTAGTGATACGGACCGTGTCCATAGTGTCATTGTGTCGCCTGCCAATGATGTATTGTCGTAACCCCTCGATTTACAGTTTTGTTTTGTAAAAAACATGGAAACACCAAAGACGCTTTAATAATGTTGTGTGTGTTTTAATTCACCCAAAAAAATCTCTCATTAATTACTCACCCTCATGTCGTTCCAAACCGGTAATACCTCCGTTCATCTTCGGAACACAAATTAAGATATGTTTGGTGCATTCTGACAGCTCTCTAACCCTCTCATAGACAGCAAGGGTACTACCATGATAAACGTCCAGAAACGTAGCAAGGAGATTGGTAAAATAATACATGTGACATCAGGGATTCAACCGTAATATTACGAAGCTACGAGAATACTTTTTATGCACAAAAGACAAAAAAAGACGACTTTATTCAACAATTTGTCTCCTCCGCGTCACCTTAGTGCCATTTTGGAGAGTATCCACTGAACGCAAACAGCATATGTTTTTCTGTGTCAGGGCCGGAGTGGTATTTCAGGATTAGTGTATCCCATCATGCATCATGTTCTGGAAATAAATCATGAGACTTTCAAATATAAGTTAATTAATAATAATAATTAGATATTACATATAATTTGGTAGTAAAACTAAATTGTGTCATCTGTTAAAGGAACTACTGAACAGACATTTAAAAGTTGATTTTAAATTGGGTTCTTAACCCATAATGGCTGTGATTGTTGCTGCCAGGAGGAAGGATCATGGCATGAAAGTACGCGTCAATCGCTGCAAACCAATCCTGGGCTTGAACGCATTTGATAATACGTTTCTGCATCAACATCCTGAACGGGAGCTTGTAAAGGGCCCGATTCAAGACTCGCAGATCCAAAATTGGTCGAAGGCCACCGCTTTTCTTGGGTACGATGAAATAAGGTCTGTA